ACCTGAAAATGGCTGCAAACGCAGCTTTGAAAAACATTAATAGAGGTTCCTGCACAACCAGCAAAAATGCAGGAAATGGTTTCTGAGTGGCAAGTCAGCAGCAAAACACTCGTCTTTTCCAACAGCCATTGTACAGAGCATGCAGCGGTAGAACGGGCTGAAAATGTCCATTTTTTTTTTTTTAAATGGCTCATTTTCAAGACTCCAAAAAACAGCTGGGTGAGTTTAATTTTTTTTAAGCAGCTGGGCTGTTTTTAGAAGCAGTAGAGACCCAAATGAAAGTATAAACACTTGCAAAAAGGACATTTTGCATATATTAACTACTAGTTATTAACAAAAGGAGGGGTATACGAAAAATATTTGCCTCCTCACCACAAAATTCTGCATCACTTTGAAATACCTAAGGAGATGAGACCAAACAATTTTGAAAACACTTTTTGTTGAAAGAAAAATAAAGCTAAGGATTTAAATGTTAACAATGAAGGTGGAGCAATCGTGCATCAGAGCTGTCGTAATGCCACCTTCACAGGAAATATGATACTGACAGATGGTGCAATATCCTCAGTCAACTATCAGCCAACGTTTAAAAGGTGAAAAAGCTAACGTAATGCTGATTTATGTATTGTGTGTTGAATCCATGGTTATTCTCATGTACATACTAAAGCATAGGTCTTCATCTATTATTAGAGGCACTTAAAAATATGCATCAGTATACATATTTTTTCCCCATTTAATCAATGGGGAAAAAAGGAAATCAGGAGGAAACTGATTACTTGGTGCATCTCCAGTGACTGCAACTCCAAATATTCAACTATAGATATTATTCTAGCAGCAGTGGGGAGAGATCCAAAACAAATAAAGGAAATTTGTTATGGGATTTGGAAAGAATCTAATCCTGGCCAACAGTCCACACTAATCAGATCACATCCCCATTATTTCTCTTGCATCCTGCTAACAAACTTTTTAAAAAATGGAGAGAGAAAAAGAGAGTGAAGTTCACACCTGGTGGAAAGTTTGTTATTTTCTTTTCTGCAGAGCTCTTCCCCACGTAGCCTTTCTCTCCTGTGTCCTATCCGCAGCTCTGCTGAGCTTTTTACATGCGAGGACTGTGTTCTCTACAAACACATCTGGAAGAAATTTCCTAGAAGTGCAGCATGTTATATCGCCTGAAGTGAGGCTTCGTGCGAGTTTTGTTTTTTGTTTTTTTGACCCTGTAAACAGCTACACAACACGGCTCTTGAGAGAAAAACCAACAGAACTGTTGGTAAAGAGCTGAAAAGAGAGATTTTAGGTTGATATGTACGGACGGTTTTTGGAAAATAAGTCCAGTTTCTGATGGAAACACGATAATTAGCAGTCTGAACCACAAACAACAAAGTAATCCAACAAAAAAGAAAATACTTTAATTATTGCGTTTTCGAACGTAATGTTTCCATAATAGGCTGTAATTAAAACCTAATTTAGCCCACAACTTGGATGGAAGACACTGCTTTTGTATTTTAAGAAACTGATCCAGGGCTTGTGGGCCTTGGTTAAACAAAAAAAAAAAAAAAAAAAAACACAGTTCTTGAACTCACCACTAACAACTTCAGCCACACTGCAGTTGGGATCAATGCTGCCGATGTGTTTGGGATGGGCAGGGTTGGTGTCGTTACCGAACAGCAGAGCTGAACACAAACACAAAGGAGACATCCAGCTTCGGCTGCGGAGACGGACCTAACGAGGACGCGACGCCGACGCGGGCGCAAGACTCACTGTGCTGGTTGATGAGCATGCGGAAAGAGATGCGGTTGGTGTAAAAGCGGTCGAGAAAATACTGGATGTTGCTGCTGATGAAGGGGTCGAAGCCAAACTTCTCCTTGTACTCGATGACGCCCTGAGCCATGGTGGGCACCACGTCGTTGTGGCGGTTTCGGATGTCAATCAAGATTTCCAGGAAGCTAAACGAGAGCGAAAGAAGACAGAGCAAACCCCCTCGTCAGCTCTGACTTTTCCCACGTTTTTCTACGTTAAAACCAGACTTCGGTGTTTTTTTAATCCGATTTTATGGGTGCAAAAATAAAAAAAAAACTCAAAAGTATGGAAAGAGGACTTCCTCTATCAATAGCTTTCTTCTTACCACACTGCAATAAAAGGGAAGATTTTTGTACTGAATGTCCTGCACACAAATTCAGTCACCATGGGTGTCCAGGCTTTTTTGTTTTATATACAAGTTTGTGACATCTGCAACAAAAATCTGTTGAACTGGGTTTTAGTTAGGGGCGCCAGACTAATTGGGGATGAAAAAAAAAATCCACTGAAGCCTGTGAATAATGTAATGAGTACAACTACTTTTATAAGGTGTAGCATAGACGTAATTTTAGAATCCAAAACCATTCAGATTCTTCAGATATGACTTTACGGGAAGAGAATCAAACTAACCAAAAACAGAAGAAGAAGAAGAAAAAAAAACTTGAAGAAGGTAAGTATCAATTTAGTGTTTCTGCTGAGTCATTGTCAACAAGCTGTTCTTGGAGTTAAGTTCACAATGCAGTCAAGCCTCTCCTTAATCCATGCCTGGCTGTTTATCAGACGGGGTATTGTTATGATATCAACACATCAACACACCCACCCACCCACGCACACACACACACACACACACACACACACACACACACAGTCAGGACAGATATATGAGCACTAGAGAGATCAACTGCAGAGTCAATGTTTCAACTGCTGCTTCTAGACTCAATGAAAGCTGAACAAACTGTTAGCGCATTCTTTACGTTTTTAATCACAAAGTCAATATTCACTCACTCATTCAGAGTGTGAGGGTCCTCTGCCTTCCTGTTCTCGAAATCCAGCAGCTCCACGAAGCTCTGCATGTACCTAGTCACGTCAAACAGAGACCGAAAGTCAACTTTCGCCCCCTGCAACGCCGTCGCCCGGAACCGAGCGCAAAAAGACAACAAAAGAAGATGGTCACCCACCACTTCTGGACCAGTTTGACAGACGGCTGGCTGAGCAGCTTGTCGGGCAGCAGGTTGACCTCTCTCATGGTGTTGGCCAGCCGCACCGGCAGCTCCTTACGCAGGAACATGTAGGATGTCTTCTCACAGGCATTCTCCCGGCCTGAACAAGGACGACAGAGTTGCATTAATTAGCGTTAGCTGCAGTGTTTTCAAATTGTTGCACAGAAACCTAACAAAAATTCACATATTCCATTTTTGGTGTAAAAGATGCTGCATCAAAACTGCCTGGAAATGGTCTGTATGCAATCCAGGTATCCAGTTACCTGCTTCGTGGCTAATTGGGCACCGTGTCACGCTTCAACCAATTAACTGACCACTGATCAGTTAACATCCTGACATTCAGGAGAGAGTTCTTAAAGAGACAGAAACAAAAGCTGACAGGATGTAACCAAAGCTGCAGAAGCGATACCAGTGACTGTGTTCAAATCATGTAAACATGATCTGTTATGCCCGTATTATGTGTGAAGGAGAATAAAATATTTTTACCCGTGGAGGGTCAAAGGTTAGTTGCTGAGGTTCACAGACAATCTGGTAAGTTTAACAAGGAAAGCAGAAATAAAAAAATGCCTCTGTAAAATAAATAAACAAACTGTTTTAAATGCAGTTTTAAAGAAGTTTATTTTGAGGAGAGAGCAAAAAATGAGTTGTTTGGGCGTTTCCCGAACAACTAAATATATATATATTTAGTTGTTTCTTTTCTTTCTATTAGATGACAATATTAGAACAGCTGTAGAAAAAATATGATTTTAATAAGGAGGATCAGAGGTGAGGTCACACTGTGTGAGTTAGAGAGAACAGCTGTTAAAAAAAAAGAAAAAAAAGGCTTTACTCCATTCTAAAACAAAGACAAAATGACTTTGGAGTTGACATCCTAAACTGACTTTAGTAAGCTATATGAGCAATTACAAACAGCATTGCCCCTATTGCACATTGCAGAGACTGAAGGTCATAACTGTGACTTTCAGATTTCCAGAGCACTCCCAATGTTTCCAAATCCAGCTTTTTACAAGACAGATAAGGGTAATCCACTAAAAGTCTTGTGCTCTCTCTCGCTCTACCGCAGCCAAAATCATCCGCACACAAGTCGCCACATGTTGTGCTTCCTTTCGAATGGTTTACATTTAGAGTCTCTGACCGGTGTTTTACTCAAAATTGGCCACCAGCAAATTTCTGGGTACGCGTTCAATTTTGAGACTCTTTAAAGAAAATAAACTGTGGGGAGTGCTGCGCTGCCCAGGGGTTCTCACTCCCAGGCTGCAAAAACACGTTTCTCAACTCTTCTTGCAGTCTTGTGTGTGGGAAAAACCTGTGAGGAACATCCCACCTGAACTCTCGTAGTCTGGTTCCAACTTTTGATTTGTAGCTTGTGATTTTGATAAGAAACAATAAAGAGACTTATCTTGAGGCTGAAAAAGGAAAGCGCAAATACCGTTCGGCCTCTAAGATAATATCCAACCTTTGTTATCTGACAGGAGATTCACTCACTCTCTTCCGACTTTAGCTTTAAACAGATAAGAGAAACTGAACTTGGAAATCATAAATCTTTGGAGCAAAAAGAGATGAGGGATTAATGTTTAACATTTGAGTGGAAGAAGAAGATGTCACTCTGCCAAAGTATCTTTCAGATACATCCACAACTCTGTGCGCCTTTCTCATTATATCCCATTGTATCCGACAGTACACCGTGTCCTTCTAGCCCGCCGTCCAATGTGTGCAAGAAAGGATTCACGCATCCTTCCGAGCCTCTGGAGGGCAAATCTGTGACACGGTAAAAATCTGCTGCTCTCAAGTTACAGCCTTTCTTAGGAAAAAACAGCAAACGAGCATCTCCTGCAAGAGTTTCAGAAAACTCTTTTGTGCAACTAAATTGTCTTCAAGTGGAGAAAGAGGCCAAAAATTAAGGTAAGCAAGCAGAGCTACATCAGATAAAAGTTCACCCAGCGTCAGCCGTGTTACTGGAACGTGCGTGCATCGCAAAAACAGAGCAATGAAAAACACAGAATGAGCAAGTTTTACCGACGTTGACAAGTTAGTTGGCATTCCTAGTTGAGATGCAGTGTAAAGCCTTAAAACAAATGAATCAGCAGAATACTCACACGGAAATGGAAAAGTAAATACTAATACTGTGTGTAAAGGTTTTAGTGCTTAGGGACGGAGATGGCCGTGGAAGATTTTGTCTCCATCACTGTGTTGATCTGGCCACATGCTTTGGATCTTTATTCTACCTAAAGACTGGGATGTGACCATCAGATCTGAATTTAAAATTTCATGATATTTCAAAAAAATGTCGATGAAATTATGCTTTTTAACGACGTTCAAGAAGCCTTAAGCAGGCCCACAGCATCACACCTCCTCCAACATCCTTTACATTAGCAATGAGGTGCTTTTCCACAGATTCAAACAATGTTTTATGGCAAATCCACAGTGAGTGTTTGCTTCTGAAAATATGACTTCAACTCTGTACATGTTTATTTTTATGATGGTAGGGCACAGACGGCTTTTGTTCTGGTATCTTTGCCAAATAACCAGTTAGAAAACTCTTCAAACTTAGATCAACACCAAATATGCTAACAATTTATATATATATATATATATATATATATATATATATATATATTTGCTGACAAGTAAAACAAGGGTATTGTTGGCTGGGTAACACTAACAAAATCCTTGATCTTGACTCAACAGTTACCACAAACTTCCTGTTGCTCACATCCAAACCACAGCTGTGTGGACAAATTACGTAACAGCTTCTGTTTAATCATATGGATTAAGAAAAGCCTCGAGTGCAGGAGTGTGATCAGAAGAATAACTACAGTATATCTTATTTTATATAAATCTGAATTTTTTTTTTTTTTGGAAAATGAAAAACAGTCATGATGACTTTCATTTTTAACACAATGACTCATGATTTTTTATTTTTTATGAGAAACCAGTTGGGAGTTTGTTATTAATCCCTATTGAGTAACTACAACAATGTGAGTGGAGGTGTTGTGTACCTGCACGCACCACCACTAGCCTGCATGCTGCTGCTTGTGCTAGCATGGCTGAGTTACCACAGTAACAGTAAATTCAAATCAATTCAAATGCCACCTCTCATTGGGATAGTGTTTCCCTGCAACATGTGGTGCTCTTATTCTATTTATAAGTCCGACATTCACTGTGACACTTTACGAAGCTCATAACAACATATGGAAGAGTTGACAATTAGACAATTAAAGGCCCTTGCTGTAGTTGCCATCTCCAATTGCAAGCCATTCTTTATTTTATTATTATTATTATTATTATTATTATTATTATGCTACTCACCAAAATCCAGGAACTGCTTGATGGAGAGCGGAGACGGTGAAAATCGGGAGTAATACTCGATTTTGGGGTGGTTAGTGTTTTTCAGCAGGCACATGAAAATCCTCATTTTCGAAAGTTTAACGACGCTCGTCTCGTATTTGTCTGTTTGTTTGGGATGTGACGTTTCAGAGTCAGGGAAAATAACACGACCGCACCATCATTATCGTCCTCACCGCCGGTAGCGATGGCAGAAACTCGGCCGGTCCGTGTCTGTCTTCGGCGTCCACATTATCCACCGTCCGCAGTGGACACGAACCGACGGGACTCATTCATGTAAATAAGACGATGAATGAGCAGCGGACACGAAGAGCTCTCGTTGCGGCTTCCTGGGTCTGCATTTCTAGACGTTCAGGTCGGCTCTTCGTCGTAAAGCCGCAGAATGGAAGAAATCTACTTCCTGTTACGTTTTTCAACGTAAAATGCTGCACGCCGTGACTTTAAAGTAACCAATGACGACCACAAGTCAGTGACGTGCATGCGCAGATAGTCACTAGGTGGTGCAAGAGCATAGCCTTTTGTTCCTCTTGAGAAAAAAGTGCCCTTCTGAAATTGGTTTTGTGGTATAGTGTGTAGCCCAAAGTACCATTTCTGGATTTTAAAGCATATGCCAGTGCCTCAATTTTTTGTATTTTTTGCATGACAAGACTCCCACAAATAACTATAAATAAATAAAGGATAGTACATCAATAAACAAAATATCCTACAGTCTTCAGCAAGTTATGGTCATTTCCATTCCTAAGAAATAGCAAATTACCACCACTTTGGCCACTTTTCATTTTCGCCCTTGTTACTTGATGGAAAAAATTTATTTATTAAAGTTTGATCTTATTTACAAAATCAAACAAAATTTAAGTGCACATTCCTTTTAATTAGGTCCATTAAATGAGATCTGCAAAAGTGTTTCTATAACCATTTTAACATTTTACCTCCCTTTAAAGCACAAAAGTAATGAACCTAATAATTTTTCAAACATATATACAACACTAAGTATAATGTTTCAACTGAACATGGCATGTTCTTATTAGGTTGACAAGAAGATAACAGCTGATAGATTATTTTCATTTATCGGGAAGAAAGAGATTAGATTAAATAATCTTATGTATTATATATTTGGTGTTGTATTTATCTGGATAAATACAACATTGATTTTTTGGCTTATCGGTTACTTATTAGTTTTTGCTTCTACAAGCAGGTCAGTTTTAGTGCCTGTTTTCTGACGTTTTGGAAGACCTGTTGTGGTCCAATATTCATTACCATATTTTATTAAAATTATGTAAATATGGGTCATAATACTTCTGATTCTTTTCTTTATACTCCAGCATTCTCTAACAGTCTAAATAAGTATGTGTGAAATTGTTGAAAAATGAATAGTTTGTCTCATTTGACTCTTCTTTGATTTCATGACTGACTGGCAAAATGTTTACGAAGACCCCATTATTACTCTATTTGCATGAGATGGGGTCTGCATTCAGTTTGCCAGTCAGTCATGAAACCAAAGACGAGTCAAACGAGACAAACAATTCATTCTTTTACTGTATCTGGATCAAATGTTGTTTGTGTTTTAAATCTGACAAACATGACGCCATAAACTGGCTCGACTTATTTTGAAGGTCCGACCTATTCAACATCCGGTCCTGTGGCGATGTTTTGGGAAGCACGTACTTTCAATTCTGACTCAACCGCACTTGGCGGGGGAGGTGCCAGCTAATGCTGTGCGGTGATTGGCTGAATACTGGGAAGTGGCCAGCAGAGTCAATTCCATTGGTTAAAAACACGTCCGTCAACATCATTCATTATCACTTGTTTATTTTGTAAAGTAGTAGCTGGACGGAATGAAGCACCTGTGCGGTATGCTTAAATGTCGTCTTAAATGTCGTCTTGAGGAGTAAAGACACCATTATACGGCTTGATTATTAAAATCCGAGTCGTGCTTTTTAGCCCATAGTAACACCGGGGACATTCAGGTCGTGAGCTCTACTTCCCTCTAGTGGCAGAATGATGAAATCACTAATATGCAACACAAGGGCAAAGCCATTTGGAATCTGACATTTTTATGTTTAAGGTCAAGAGGTAATAACACAATAAAAGTTAAACAGGAGCGCTTAATAATATTAAGATGGTGCACAAAAATACAAATAATAAATGGTCAAGTTGTTTTATTTGTAGTTCAAATAAAAAACAGACTGAGGGAAATGGGTTTAATTCCACACAGAGTTCAAGCAGGTTTTGGAGACCATTAATGCATTTATTTCTGTAAATTCTTTTTTGCAATTCTCAAATTAAATGTCAAAGATATCAAAACAACCTGCACATGAAGTTGAAGTGGAAACATTTAATAACAAATGTAAAAACAAATAAAACAAAACAAAAAAAATACATGAAAAGTATGTTTCACATTCAATGCAGCTAAACTGAATTCCCCTCTACATCCTTTAGGTAACCAATTTTGCTTGATATATTTTATATGGCTTTTCTTTTTTTTTTTTTTTTTTTTTTTTTTCGGTTTCCCTAATTTAGAGTTGTTTGTTAAAAAACTGAAAGGCAAATGAACCTGAGAGACACCAAGTTTTGTTTCCTTTTGTTTCCACTCAGAACTAAAAGCAGCACACAAACGAGGAAACAAAATCCTGCTTAAAAATACGAGCAATTTTATCAACAGTGGCATTGGTTAACAACTCCAAAATGTTCTCCTCCAACATATATTTGGCTTCCGACTTCCACTTTGTTTCATCATTCGTACGATAAAGCTGTTCCACATGTTACAAGGAGCGCACTTCAAGGGAAAATGGAGGGATATTTAAATCTCTGTAAGGTAAAGATCCCAACATTTATAACCACAAAGGCACAAATTCAATACAGGCATAATGTACTATATACTCATAATAGCAATGAAATAAAGATTAATAAAAAAACCCTATTTGATTCTCTTTGAAACATTGATATGTCATCTGACCAACTGCAGCTGAGAGGGGAAAACGGGGCAGACAGTCGATGATGGAAAAGAACAGCAGGGCAAATATAAAGTTAAACAGTGAACATATTGTCAGAGATAATAGTTTTCTCAGAAGTGTAGTCTTAACCTGATCCAAAGTCAAAATAAGAATCTGAAAACAATAATAGCAGCGAAAAGTACAGACCAATGACACGCTCCTTGATGAGCTACTCATTCTGCTGTGATGCACAGTGGTGGAGGTGTTAATTTGGGCTTCACAGTCTCAAGGACTGGCCAGCTTGAACTTACTGATTTAACTTTACACTCAGCATCCTTAGAAAGCATGCCTGAGAATAAAACCTGAACAGTTAACCTGAACTTTGAAAGGACTATTAAAAAAAAAAAGAACTGTATAAAAGCCTCACATAGTTTGGAGACTAAAAACTAAAGATTTTTACATTTAAAAAGGTGCCAAAAATTTCAATAAGGTGCCATCAGAGGACGAAGGACAATTATTCACAGCACCCGTACAAAGTTGCCTCAGCTATATCAGCATCAATAGTGTTTATGTCCAAGAGGTTACAAAGATGAGCTTTCCAACTGAGCTTTCCTCAGTCTGAAGGTGAATATTGCTAAAAAAAAAAAAAAAAATGACCTGAGTGTTCCAGTCAGCCAGCTGCACAACCTCCAAGTTCATTTACATCGATTTCATATTTATTGATCAATGCGGCTTTACATAATTTCCTCATCAAACCAACACGTAGAGACTCTCAGACACACACATTCATCCAGGCCTCACGCAGAAACCGCTAATGTCGTCAACTTGGTGTTTTCGTTGTCGCCCGGTTCTTCTTCTGGGAGAGGGTCGTACTGTCGTCGGTACAGCAGCCGGGTCACCAGAGTGATGATGAACATCTCCAGGATGAGGAGCTGCTGACTCAGCACTGCGGAGACGGACAAAATGGTTTTAAGGTTTGCTCGAAGAGAGACATTGGGAAAGTTGGGAGTTTTGAGTTTCTTCCTGGCATTTAATGTTGGACTGAAACAAACTGACTGATTGGTCGTGGTTCACTACGATCCTGATTGACTTAATCCGTTTCATTCACTCATTCAACAGCAACTCACGCCTCTGTTGAAATACCAGATTAATTTGTTGTAAAAAAAAAATAATTTTTTTTACATTATTTTAATTTCTTTTCCACCTTTGCTATGACAAACAACTGCTTGTTTTACCGCTGAAAAACAAACCAATTTGTTACGGAGAAAATGTGAAAAATAAAAAAAGCTGTCACTAGCAAGTTGCGCATACATCAAAGAAGTTTTGATTTAATTACCCATCTGGTTTATAACATATCAATTATATACAATTCTACAAGTCAGACGTCACTCTTATCTATCCTAGTGGCATTTTCTTTCTGTTTGGATCTCTGCTCTAGCAGCAAACAAATTGGCTGATTGATTAATTAAATCCATCAGCAACGTCTGAGCAAAGAGGCTGACGACGAAAGCCTGATTTAACAACGACAAGGGCCCAAAGAAACCGGCAGGATATGTCGAGACTCACTGTATCCTCTGGCGGGAGACGAAAAAGGCGGAGAGCAGGCGATGACTCTGTTCATGGCCAAGATGTTGATGATGGCCGTCTGCAGCTGGCTCAGGATCAGCACCAGCTACCGACACAAGCACACTGATGCAGTCAACGGCTGAGAGCGCGGTGCTGGGAAACTCTGCGGTTGTTCGGGATCTTACCTGATACATGGCGTACTTGGGGACGATCTTGAGCGTTCGCAAGGTGATCCTCAGGTGCATGAAAGTGATGGTGACGGGCCACAGAGCAGTGACCGTCAAGATGCCAACAAATGGGTTGATCCATATCGCTGCTCCGGTAATTCTCATCTGAAAAGCGATGTCATGTAATGTTTAAGTATGCCAACAGATTGGTTCACCATCGTCAAAACTTCTGGACCTCTAACAAATCGGAAAGGTCGACATAGATTAGTGAAAATAACAGCACTGAACATTTCAGGCAGCAATATGAACTCACCACAAAAAAGTAAGAAACAAAACTAAAAAAAAAAAAAAAGCATACTAAAAGAATATGGGGAAAGGGGGGGAAGAGCCTTTAAAGCGGAAACTGATTTCTACAAAAATTATGACAAATCATATTTTTCAGGAATATAAAACATACTAGCAGGGGATCCATGAAAAACAGCAAATATTTGGAAGTCATCTACGTCTAGAAAGTAGATTGTCTCTTTTCAAACGGAATGGCCTTAAGGGATAAATATTTCTTTGGAATTTTAGTGGCAGGAAAAAAACAAGGCCAACTCAAGGAAATGGCTTCTGTGTGAGAAGCCCGACTATTGACATGTGGGCTGAGATTTTACCAGAAATTTACAGGATGGAGAGAGTGGGAGCTGAGGTGATTTGTTTTGAGGGAACGGTTTTCTTTCACAGTGGAGGAAATAGATGGACTACAGAACAGAATACCAAGGAAGTCAAACCTTGACTGGGTAAACTGTAGATAATGACTTCACACAAGTGTGTAGATAAAAAAAAAAAAAGAAAAAAAAATCCAGACTTACACAGACAGTAAAAAAAAAAAGAAATAAAATTTTATGTAAATATTCGTCTTAAAATGTCAACAAAAAAGAAAAGAGAGAAAAAAAGAGAAAGTTTTGACAGTTTATAAAGTTGGACTTCTCAACAGCCGCTGTGGTATTTTACCATCAAAAGCAGGGCAAACAAAGAAATGTATTTTCTCTTTATTTAAAAGGGAATATAAAAAATAAAGACAGCATTTTAAACATAGATTGATCTTATAGCAGCAAAGTATCCAATAATTCCAAATATCTAGTTTTTAAAGAAAACAAGGAAAGCTCAAATCAAAACGAAATATCTTCTTCCAAAAGTAAAGACTTAAAATGTTGTTCTCTTCTTGTTTTAGATTTTAAATTACGCCTTACATGTTCACTAGAAACAGAAACCAAGACATTGACAGGTACCCACACACCCACATTGAAGAGTAATCAGAAGTGATTTCCTGACAAAATACAGTGTCAGCTATGATGCAACTTGCAGAAGCAATCATATCCCTACCACAAGCTTCAATCCGTTTAATTAGGACTTTATTTGATTGATAGATCAACACAATGTGAAGTCAAAGGAAAACCATTCAGCTTTAAGCTGGGTTTCTTTTGTTTGTTTTTTAGGAATGAATACTGTAGAAATATGAACAGCACTGTGTGAGTTTGTTTTTGCCCAATCATTGGGAAAAAAATCTCAAACTCAGCAAAGATGAATGAAAGCATCTGAACATCTGGAGATAAGGATGTCAAAGTTCACAAGCTTTTCTTCAGTAGGGCCAGATACGCCTGTCTGACTAAATATGACACATTTTCCTGTCACTTCCCACCCCAGAAGGAAAAAAAACAAAGAAAACAATCCCACAGCATGATGCTCTCTCCTGCTTGTTTCACTCTGTGGATGGCGTTGCCGGCGCCACCTAATGAACATCTGCTGCGTGTTTGGATTTTCTCATTCTAATCTGAATGCTTTCCAAACTTTTTTTTTTTTCTTCATGTCACAAATCTAGGTTGTGTGGATATATCCACATCAGATGCTAATAAAACACACTGAGGTTTGTGGTTGTAATGTGTGACAAACTGTGAAAACATTCACGGGGAATGAATTTGTGAGGTGCTGCATATACACATTAAGCTGCCTTAAAAAAAAATCATTAAATTGGCATTAAATGAATAACTATGTAAGAATACACACATATACACACACACGAGCTGTGGGAAAAATAACGGGAGTTGATCTCTTTGACTTACATCTTGCGGGTTGTAATTTCCGTTGGTCCACAGGAAGATGGAAAGGAGGGTGAAGATAAGCTTCAGAAGGGCAAACTGGAAGGATCCAAGCTTCAGCAGAAAGACAGTGCGTCTGAAGTTCAGAGACATAAAGTTACCACAAGTCCATTGTTGAATCCCCAAAGAACTTCACCATAAAGATGATTTTTTTTTTTTTTTTTTAACAAGACAGAGGAAGGCCTGTTTTATTGGGGAGGTGCGGCAAGTCAGGATCTGAACATGCCCAGAGAATGCTAACGGTGCCAGATGTCTCCGAGGGATGTCTTATAAACAGTTCAGTCGAGAAGTAGCAGAGTGTGCCTTGGCATGATCATTATCACCAACATCACTGTGTGTGGGAAGGTAGGGTTCAGATTTTCTGTTGCACAGATTAGGGAAGAAAAAAAAAAACTCGTCAACTCTGTCTAACAGCAGCATGCAAGCAACATAAATGACCGGGTTTAATCAAAAGCTAACCTGTTAACAATTATTAACAGCAACCAGAAAGGGGAACGGAGGGTTCACGGCACCCATGAGGCCATGAGGAGTATGAGAGGTGAATGACCAGGAGGTTGCTCAACCTGTGCGTTGTTTGGAAATCCTGCCTTCCTTCCGTTTGAATCCAACACGGTTTGCACACAGGCTGGTTATGTTCAAACAGGCTAAAAACGTGCTTCAAAGCTCTCTGACACGACTGAATCCGTCACTGACTCCAGGCTGCATCTGTACATGATCAGCGTTGCAAAATCCTCCGCGCAGCACTCCTATGTTACATCATAGACAAAGCTCCTTCAAATCCTTAGACAATTACTTTTGTTCAGCACAGGTTTTCAGCTAAGGCAGTGCAGTACTTTGCAAAGATTTTCACGCCTCATGACCTCTCTTGTACTTTGTAAGGATACAACTGCGTGCTAAGTTTTTATCGTTTTACCGAAGATGGGCAACATTCATGCAATAAAAACAACATGGAAAACACCAAGGTTAAACTTCAATATTGTGTCATGTTATTTGACAAACAAAAATTAATTTCAATTTCGGCCACCAGTGAGCAGGAAACCATCGCGAAATCAAAGGGATGCTGACGATAAAACAAATAAAATGAATCGTAAAGATCCTTGATGAATTTATGTTTTGCGAAAGCAATTCAGCGTTCCTCAGACTTTTGGGTATTGACATCAATTTCTCCGTTGTTTCCCATAAGTAACCTGATAACCCGATTGTTTCCCCTAATGTATGACTCGCTTGAATTATTGTGCCTTCCTTCTTCGTCTTAGCATTAGCCAACGAGGCTAACGTCTCACCAAAAGTCTCTGGTATCGCAGCGAGCATCACTACCTTCACCATATAACCATGTTTGTTTGTCGGAGGTTTGCTCTACTTCCGCAAGGGGGGGAGACGGGGCCCGTTCTCGCCTTGGCATCATGTCAATTGTGCCATAATTTTTCCATTTTTTATGACAACGGATTGAACGTTGCTCCAATGAGATGTTCAAAGCGTGTGGTCTACATTCCAGCTCTACTTACAATGTCTCTGAAGCTAATTTTTGCAAGGCATGGCAAACAAAACAGCTAAAGCTGTTGTGATCTTTGTTTTTTTTTTGGTTTTAATAGTCTCTTAAACGAAGCCTGAAAGATCTAAACAGGCTTGAATCATGGGAAATAAAAGAACTTTTTCTGATAAGTGCTCCCTAGCGGGACCATATTATAGGCAATTTTGATTAACTTTCCATCCCCAGTTTTTAGTTTGCCAGGAACATAAGGAGACTGTCCAAAAACAACATGCCAAGCCAATGGTATGCTTTCTGTGGAAGCTCCACTTATGCTTCAATATTACAAGGAAAAAGCCCTTGGATGAGTAAGTAAAACATTGAAAGGGTTTTTCTCAAATGGGCAGAGAGAGTGAGAAACTGAGGGAGTTTACCGTGTGATGGCCACGTGTGGGAGACAGAGGCAGCAACAGCAGCAAGGCCCAGTGCTGATCTTCAGTTTGTGTTTGCTGTACCGCTTCAGGAAGGCCTCGTCCCCTCCAATCTCCTCCAACATCATAATCAGGAACTTAAACACCACGATGGCGAAATAGCTACGAGGACAGAAGAGCAACACGGGCTATTAAGGCAGGAGGAAAAAAAGAAAGAAGCAAAAAAAAAAAACTATAGGAAAGTGAAAGCATGTTGCACAACAGCACGGCTGTTTTCTATAAAATGTTCCTAGGAATAATGAGGTTCGAGTTCCCCTTTGATCCTCGAGCAGTCGGGATGTAAGGTTCACACGGCGCACAAACAGAGAAAGCAGTGAGAAAACGAGAGGGGGGAGAGAAAACTTACGTGCCCGAAGTCAGATCTGTAATCATCACGGCTCTGGGGATCCACATCCCTATGCAGGACATGGTGCTGATCACCTGTAAGAGCCCAGGAGAAAAGAGGCATTACTAAACGCGCAACCCGAAATGAAAGACGACGTATTCACGATGCTTCAACTTATTCTCATTTTGTCACATTCTAACAATAAATACTGTGCGTCTTAAAAAAGATTTTACGTATTAGACACATTCGGTTATTGCTAAATTGTCTTTAGCTTTGCTAAAAACAAAAGTATTCCCACAACATGACATGGCTACCGCTGTGTTTCTCTGTGGGAATGTCGTGTGCAGGTTTTCAGATGGATATTTCTTCAGAGTATCAGAGTAAAGGAGGCTGAACTTTTAGGAGTAAAAAAATAAACATTTTAATCCACTTAACTATTTTGTACTTCTTTGTGTTGGTTTATTACATAAAACCCCACAAAATGATCTAGGAAGTGTAAAATTTACAGCATCTACTCTTTCTGTGGGAAAAATGAAGCATCCCCACAGCAAGCCATTGCCGAGACTTAGATAAATTGTTCCAGAAGTTATTGCGATAAACGATAATATTTTCGTTTTGAGACCATTTTTAAGTAGTGTAATGGAAATGGCAAAATAATAATGCAAGAACACAATCTGAAATATCAGTAAACTTTAAATTATAATGAACATCTAACACTGCAACTGGAAGACATTTCAAATATCCAAAGATAAATAAACAAAACAACAAATAAAATGAATTTTGAAGTCTTTGTAAATAAAATTGTCCTTCAAAAAAAAAAGGCCTAGTTGAGACCAAAACACCAACCTGAAAGCTTTTATCATCCAGGTTTTGGTAGAAAGAGTGGGGAGGGGGGGGAAGAGAAACGATAAAATCATGCCAATGGAAATTATTGAATTTGTTTTAATTTATCATGCGATTAACTGATTTATTGATTACTGTGACAGGCCTGGTTCAGGTTTGCATATTTATGCTGAGATTAAGCTACAAACAGGTGGGCTTGATTTACTAAAGCAACTTCTGAAGGCCAACATGTTGCCAGGGGCTTTATTTGGGGCCATCAACGTGAAAGAGACGGTAAGTAAAGGCATCGGCAGCCTTTTCGGATTTAAATTTATTATTAAAACTCTCGAAAACTATGCCTGGCTCACAATTCTACGCATGTGAATATAAATGTAACCCAGAGAAGCGTGATAAAGTGACAAAGTGAGACAAACTTAAACCGTGCGTTTGTAACTTTACCGGAGCTGCCCCGTTCACCCAGATGATTGCACTCTTCTTGTTGGCAGGCACCTTCTTGTAAATGTACACACACTCCTCCAGGAAGACCAGCATTGAAATCGTTGCCATGAAGGTGAGGACTGAATACAAAATAATGCCAAATACGTCCTGATCTGAAAGAGGAAAAGGCAAATTGGATTAAACAATTGGATTTAGGCCCATTATTTTGTCCTTTGGGGAAAAAATTCAAGACAGAAAAGATGTTTTTTTGTTGTTGTGTTTTTTCCCAGATCCTGCTGAAAAGAAGTTCATGCTCATACTTGCTTTTTCAGGCTGGATAACAAAAAAAGAAAAACAGCCTAAAAGTCTAAAGAACTTCAAGTCCTCGCAAGTTTTATGAGGCAAAAATTAGGGAATCGTTGCTAGATTAACGCGTTCACCCTTGAGCCAAAATAAACTTTGGCTCTTCTTTTGCTTTGCTAGTGTCAGAAAGATGACCTGTACGTCGAAAACCTTTTAATCAGATTTGCGGCACTTAAAACCAAAGCAACACGCAAAACCCCAAGAGCTGATCAAGGAAAAGGCTGGCAGGGAGACGTGGCAGGATGTTGATGACGATGATGAAGGCAAGACGACACGGTTGGCTGTGGTGGAGGTGGATGTCGCCATCAGCGCACCAGTGATTCCAGAGAAAGGAAAATGCAAAACAAAGAATGGAAGGAAAGGCAGTAAATAGCTCAAGCTTCTTAGATGTAGCTGAGACTATTCTTGTAATCTGCGTCATTTATTGTCAGGAATTCAGAGTCATTAGTGGTAGTCAGACTGAAACGAACCCCACAAACAGGTGTTCCTGTTTTGTTTTGGGTTTTCTGCAACGCATGTCGGCTGTTGTGCCTCTTCGATTTCGCTCAGTAACTTTAAGGTCGAATCCGCACAGTTCGACTTTCTGAAGTGTCTCTGGATTCTAACAGCGAAATGCAACATGTTTTTCTACACCGCATCAAGGTTCAGCGATTTCAACCTCTAACAGATGTGCAGGACATACTAGAATTTCTCTCTTTTCTTTTTTTTTTTTTTTTGAGCTTACAGGTAGAGATGCTGGAGATTCAGATGATCGATACTGACTGGTTGTATTTGTTTAGAAATTCACTAATCAAATTTTTGTAGCCATGTTGTAGGAATTTACTAATTAAGATTTGATGTGAGGCTGCATGATATCCGGTGGTTAGTGCTGCTGCCCAGGGCCCTCGCTGGGGCTTTTCTGTGCTCAGTTTAATTATTGTTTGAGTTTGATTGATTGTCTCTTCTGTGGAAAGTTTTTGATACAGGCAGTTGCCCAGGACACCATCAGAAAGGGGCCCATGACCCCCATATAAAAAGTATAACTTATTTATCCATCAGCTTGAACACCTTTTATGTTTGGCTTCTCTAGAGGTGTCGTGTTGTTGAATTGTGATCAGTGTATGGCAGCATCCTCTTATATGTCACTTTCTCCTATTTAATCACTTCACCAATCATGGAGAGACACTGGCAGGATAATATTTGCTTGCATACATGTACAATTAGCAAGGACAAGAAGCCCTCTGCTTGATCTCAAGAATATGGCGATCAGGCAGAGGTTGCTGTCAATTACAATCCACTTTGTGTGAGAAGAGGCTAAACTTATTTTTGCTTTTGGTGCTGCTGAAAAATATATAGAAATTGCATCCTGCCCACACTGGGACCATTTCTGTGGATGAGTGGATCACAAAATCGGTCACAAACGGGAGAAAACAGAAGCAGCGAGAACAACATTGCCTGTTTATCCATGTATAGGCATGGATAAATTTAGAAACTGCCGATATGTTCACAGTACATCATACCGCCTTCTGGGTTAGGCTGCGAACAAACGTTTTCAAGAACGCGCATCGACACGTGTTCTTAAAATCGTATTTCTATGAGAAGAAATTAGACTTTGAAATGAAACGGCACCAATCTGGTCGGGACTTTAGAGGCGACGTTGCAAACACAACATCATCGCTGTAGAAACGCGCGTTTATTCGCCCCGAGAAAAGCTACTAAACTTTATGCTCGAAGTGAACGAGAATCATTAAGGAAAAATTTAAGACCAAGAAAATTTTTATTACGGAGAATTGAATAACATAAATACAGAACATATTGTAGAGAACAACAACAAAAAAAATAATGCAAGAAAATGTTTTGAGGAACATGCAGGGAGAACAGATTAAGAGTATGAAAAAACAACCACATTACAGAACAAAAATCACAGTTTGAGTTTTATGTAGCCATGAACGAGCAGTGGGTGAGGATCTACAAACAATAAACTAATCACAGGATGCAGTTCCGAATTCATGGTTTGAAGGTGGTGAGCAACAGGAAACCAAATGAATTATTCAGTTATGATTCATCCTGAGGAACATTAAGGGTGCCTCCAGAAAATGATGCAAGAGGGATACCAGATGTGAACCATTAATGATCTCCAAAGGATATGCCCAAAACCAATAACATTTATAAAGTGCAACAGTTTAATGAACCTTATAAACTGCAAATTCATGCTTTGAAGTCACTATACATCCAAAAATATACAAAAATAGCAAGTGAGATTGGAGCAAAACCACAGGTGGGGTCTTCAAAACAAGAAGGATCTGGTGAGGAATGAGGAAAACTAAATGGCTCATGAAAACTGTGGAGGCGATCAAAGACATGTAAGAAGTGAGCTTTATAAACAAAATATGTAGCAGTTGAGAGGAGAAAACTCTTGAACATAAAAACAAACAGAAAACTTAATAGAGTGCAGACGGACTGCAGCTAAAATGACAATCTAAACACATGAAAACACCAGGAATCCAAATACTGGATGAGAATTGAAATGTTTAATGCGAAAAGAGACAAAAACGGAAAGAATCACAATGCAGCGATTGAAGAACAAAGTCAAAAATCATGAAACCACAAAGAGTCACGGATCATAACAAAGCAAACATTCGGCGGCTGCTTTTGTAGAATGTTCATTCTACTGGCTCTCAAAAATAGCTTTTTATTTCCTATTGTGGGCTGCAGGCTTGCTGCAAAGAAAAAAAAATTGCATCTTTAGAGCAACTGTTGCTTTATTTCTGATCTAGATGTAATTTTCAATGCTCTTTCAAATGAAAGACTTTGTTTTTGTTCATAAAATACAACTTTGCTAAAATGCCTCCTGTTGCGAACTTAAAATACATCCTAACTAAATCAAATTAAAAAAGAAAAAAATAGAGTAAATAATGCTGCCAGTCATCAAAGTTAATGTCTTCTCCTGAATCCATGCATTAACATTGTGCATTCAGGATTCTGTATGCACCGAGGAGATGGGCAAACTACTGGCACCCCAAGGTAAAATTATGCTGTCTTTCTTCAATAGTGATTTTCCCAATATTACATTCTAATTGTACCAATAAGACACTTCATCTCTCTCCCTTTTCCAGAACAAAAAGAAGAAAAACCAAACTCATTTTGAGTCATATAAAGTAGAAATTGCATGTCTAAACCAAGAAAACACCCCTGATCCATAGCTTTCTAGTGTCAAAAACAAAATCTCGACTACCTGTACCATTTTGTTTCCACGACACCGCAGTTAATAAACACTGCTTAAAATTCGGCCCAAACTAATTAAAATTCTACAGGGGGAAACTTGTTGGTGCGTAAAGTTCAAATTCTTTAACCAGTCGCTCATCATTAGAAGAAAAAAAAAATTGTTCAGTGAGCAGAACCAGGTCCAGTCTATACTCACTTCGGATGTTGTCGATAGCGAACGGAGGTTCGCCGTCACACAGGTTAGCGGTCCGGTTGGATACATTATTCATGTTGGATGATGGTTGATTGGATTCACACACCCCGCCACAAATGCGCGACTTCCCAGTTGAGTGTCTTTCCTGCTGCTCACATCAACAGACAGCTCGGTGCGTAAAGAGCTGGTGGACGGACGCGCACTTTCTCCACTGCAGAGTCCGAAAACTTT